GCCCACCCCCGGACCCCCGGACCCCCGGACCCCCGGACCCCCGCCGGGGCCCCGGGGCCGGGGCTCGACAACCCTGTCTCTGACAAGTGTTAATTGACTGTCACTGTTATTGCGGATACCGCGAAATACATCAAAGAGTTCAAACTCAAGGTTTGCTCAAAGGAAATGAGCCACAACCATTAATTAATCGTCGGTAATATTTTCGTCATCAACCTCTAAATATGACTTTCTACAGGAAGGCAAGGCCCCTCAAAACAAAAAAATACGAAGATGAAGAAAAAAAAAGTGAAGACCCCTCTGCTTCGTCAATCCTGAAGCTGAAGAAAACCCTGCCCCCACCGTCTTCCCCTGGGCACAACGCACACTCATTTCGGTTGCACCCGACCGAAAAGATAGCTTGTATACATTAGTTATCGGATGCATTGGGTTGTGTTCGGCGGAAGACGGTAGCACAACAATGGAGATCTCATTTTCGACCGCAGGCGAGAGCCCCACTAACGAAGAGGATTGTATTATACGCCTGAATCTGGACGTGTTTGTGGGGAGATGCACAAAATCGCACTGAGACTTGTTGTGCCTTGGATGGCCCAATTCATCGTTCGAGGCTTGCCAATTGGATCAAAGGGGGGGGCGTGTGTCGGGCATGCCAATTAAACCCCCTAAGCTTGAGCAGATAAAACAAAAATGTATAGGTGGAGCCTGTTTGTGGAGCCCTCGAAGTACCAACTGTGCTTGCTTGTCTTGGATGAGCCAATCAAACCAGTCAATCGAGGTTCGTCAATTCCATGAAGGACGATCACCCAAGGTCATTTTCGTTTTCATGGCACTAGTGGAACCTACAGTGTGTACCATGTGGCAGACCAATGGGTCCAACAGGACCAACGACGAGAACTTAATCGTCTACCTTGGAGGGAAAGATTGGACCAAATATGGAACACTGTGGAATACTGCTTCTTTCATCGTAGATTAATGGAACGCGTCATAGAGTGCTGGAATAGAAGAGGCCTATGTTTTCAAGGAGCCAAAGATTAAGAGACGCTTAAAAAAAAAGAAAAAAGAAAAAAAGTCCCTTTTCTGTCATAGAGGGTTTTTTGTAAAGCCGAAAAAATAATAACGATATTAAATTAATAATAAACATTAGTCTTACGGTGATACCCATCAAGTCCAATACTTCAGCAACAAATTGTTGGAATGTGGTTCGATCCGTTGACCTATCTGGTCCAAGACGACGCACAGTGGATATTCCAAGAAATGGCCGGTGGGTTTTATAAGACCATGACGATGTTGATGATGGTCTAACCGTTGTTCCGTTTAGCGCTGTGTATACCCCCGTACGAATATGAGCCATCCGTACGTCCATACGATCGTACGTACGGGCTCATGTGGTCGTACTGGTCGTACGTACGAAAAAAAAAACAAAAAAAACAAATTCAAAAAAAAAATAAAAACAAATATGTTATGCAGAAAAATAAACTGAAACACTTTTGCCGCAGGGTCATATTGAAATTCGTTACCAAATTTGAGATTAAAAAAAATACGGTGTTTTTTTTTTTTTTTT